GTCCCCGTTTCGCCGACTGAGCGCCGGGTGGTGACTCCACCAGGGTCTGGAAGATGGCTGAGCGAGCTGGAAGCGCAGCGACGCCCACGCTCCCGCCGCCGCCCCCGGGTCACCCTGGGCGCCCGGGAGCCCTGCTGTGCGTGGGGGCCCTCGGAATCCGCGGCCGTGTGCCCCTCGGAGGGGGGGGCAGCTGCCTTTCCCGGGGAGCTCCAGGGGAAGACGAGCGCCTGAAGCTCGGGGACGGGGTCCCGCCCACAGCCTCCCACCTGCCCGCAGTCGGGTCGCGGTTCAGAGGGCAGGGAGCCCTGAGGTGGGAGCGCTCTGCCTAAAACCGCCCTCCCCTCCCAAAAGCGGTTCCAAAATGTTCCGTGTTTTCATCTAATTCCTTGGATACGGTCGGTCCTCCACGGCACCCGAGCGTGTCTCCCAGCCCCAGTCACGCGCTTGCTCCCCGCTTCTGCTCAGTCCCGCAGCTCCCGGGCCGGGTGGGTTGTGCGGCGAGGCCGCCCGCAGCCCGGCTGCGCTTGGGGGCGGTTCACGGGGCCCCACGCCGGCCCCCACTGAGAGGCCTGTGTAGGCGGGGCTGTCCTGAGGTCCCCCCCAGTTTTGTCTGTTTCCTGTGGGTATTGTAGCTTAATTGTACCTGCGGGACACCAAACAGTTGGTGGGAAAATGCAGAACTAGCTTAATCGCACGCGCGGCCCCGGATGCTGACCGCAGGGAGGGCGCCCTCCCTCCTTCAGTTCTGTGCGGCCGGGGACGCGGTTGCCTTCCTTTCGGGCACGCACCCTAAGGAGCCTGCGGTTTCGAACCTGCCCGCAGGCGGGACCGGCTAGAGCCCAGGTGAGGGCGCGGCGGGCAAACCAGGTGGGTGGTTGCCTTGGAGTGCTGAGAGGGAGGAGGACCGCGGTCACCTGGAGGAAGCTTGGGCGGGCAATCTTCTGAAAGCAAACACTTATCATATTTGCTTTGGGACTCACGTTTCTAAGATTGGACGTCCCTTCCTGCCATGCCACCAGTAAAACAAGGGCTTGGTGATACGCTGAAGGGATGTGAGTAGGGCAGGAAAGCATGGGTGACAATTAACAATGGCTGTGAAGCAGGACTTGAAGGGCGGTGAGACGTGTGAAAACGAGGCTCGGCATTCCCAGGCAGCGTAGGTCATCCAGGTCATCCCCGAGCGTGCCTGACTAATCTGTGCCTGGGTGTGAAGCAGCCTGGATGATCCTGGCTTGGTCCAACAGCCCGGTGCCTAAGGCTGGAAGCATCCCGGTGAGCGTTCCAGGAACGCGGGAGGGCAGAGTCTGTTTCAGAGTAAAACCATGATGGGGCTGGAAAGGCTCAGATTGACAGAGCCGCCCCCAAGCTCCCCGCAGGCGGGACACACCCGGCCTCGGCCCCAGCCCTGCAGAGCCCCGCGCTCCTGTCTGGGAGCCCTGCTTCTGTAGCAGACTCTGCCTGACGCCGGCCTGCGCCGAGGGCTGTGGGTGCCGGGCCGCTTCCTCAGCTTCTGGACAGGACAGGGTCCATCACGTGCTCCTCCTTCTCTAATGAACAAACAGCTTCGCCCTGTCGGCTCCTGAAAGGCTGAACTAACCCAGACACCGGCCTTCCTCAGAGACACTGCGGGTTCCATCCCAGCCACAGAAATAAAGCAAACGCACAATAAAGTGAGTCGTACGTAATCTGTGTGCCTTCAACTTGTAAAAAAAAAAACCCAACATCTGTGAAGCACAATAAACCTTCACCACTGCCTCTGAACAGTCTGAGTTTGCTGTCAGAGTTTTAATATCCTGGGCCAGGACTTCCCTTATTTGGGACAAGCCAGCACCCAATGTGGTAAAATACACGTAAGATCACCATTTAACCATTTTAAAGTGTAGATCAGTGCTCTTAGTTGCCTTTTGAATCCGCCGAGGTTTTTCTGTGCAAAGGGCCCGCAGCACCTTCCTCCCTTCTGCTCTCACTGGCTAATTGCCGTACACGTCCAGGTTCATCAGAACTTTCTTACCTCTCCTTACTGTGGAAAAACAAAAGACGTTCTTACACACAAGTAGCATACACAACCTTCCGGCTTATCATCATCTCTAAAGTACTAGGTAGCCCTGGCCGGTGTGGCTCAGTTGGTTGGGTGTCTTCCCATTCACCAGAAGGATGCTGGTTAGACCCCAGGTCAGGGCACCTGCCTGGTTGTAGGCTCAATTCCCAGTAGGGGGCGTGCAGGAGGCAGCCTGCGATGTGCCCTCACATCCATCGATGTTACTCTCTTCTCCCTTCCTCTCTCTGAAAATTAATAAAACTATTCTTTATTTTTAAAAAAGCCACAAAAACTATTACTTAAACACTTGCTTTGAAGCCTACCTGATCTTTTTTAGCATATTCAAGTGTTTATTTAACATCCCCTTTCTCCGATACCTGGGTAACCAGCAGCATATGGTAAAAATTTCAAGGCCCTAGTGAGGATCTTGTGGTCTGGCGACATTTCTTGCAGGTTCACGTATTAGCTAGGATGCTTTTGTTGGAAGGTAGCAGGAACCCTGGCTCAGTCTGGCTTAGCAATAAGAAAACCCATTCTCTCACACATCAGGACGTCCAAGAGCAGGGAGGATTTCAGGGACAGCTGACTAACTGGCTGAACAAGGCCATTAGAAAAATCGTGTTCTTTCCATCTCTGCCCTGCCATCTTTAGTGTGGTGCAGTGGGCCCCGGTGTCGGTTAGGAGAGGAGACTTCCTCCTGTAACCCAGCCCCACGCCATCACTGGTCAGAATTGGCTTGTACACTCAAGAGGGATTGGATTACCATCATGGGTTTGATTACTGGCTCACTGGGGACTTCTTGAGTCACCTGGGAGTGCCGGGAACTTTTCAAATTTCCGTGCCTGGATCCTACTCTCCAAGGTTCTGACTCTGAAGGTCTGGATATCAGTATTTTCAAAAAGTTCCCCAGGTGACTCTAATGTGCGGTGTGGGGTGAGAGCCCTGTTTGGACTAATGCGGGATAGTTTGGATTTGAGGGGTCAACTGCAATATCTGCTGCCACCTATGTATTTAAAACCTGGCTTCAGTGGTTTAAAACCTGTTTGAATTTATTTCTCACACAGATATCATAACTTCATTTTTGGAACCCACATGGTGTATTATCACCCCAAGAAACTTCACGTTCAGGAGGAAAACCTACAGCAGCTTCTCGTCTCAATTGTCCTTGAGTCAGAATGTGAAATGTTCCCCAGCATCTCTTCAGATGAGTCCTGTGAGTACCTATGTGATGTGAGTGTGTCCTAATTAAAGCTGTTACAGACTTAAGTGCCAAGAGCAGTCTTCACGCCATGAACTATTGTGAGGTCTTCGCTAGTGAGTTTATAATTAAACTCATATTTTTAAAACTATCATCAAAGCCCAGCCGGGCGTGACTCAGAGGTTGAGCATCGACCTAGGATCCAGGTGATTGGGGTTTGATTCCCGGTCAGGGGCGTGCAGGAGGCAGCCGATCAATGACTCTCTCATCATTGATGTTTCTATCTCTCCCTCTCCTTTCCTCTCTCTGAAATCAATAGATATATTTTAAAAAAATAAACTATCATCAAAGTCTGATGATAAAAGTACAGTAAGTGGAGGAAATAAATCACTCATAACTCCAGCACTCGGTTAACCACTGTTATTTCAGATTTTTAAAAAGAGTAATTAGTTTAAATATTTTACAAATGCATAAACATGCTAATGACATGAAAATGGATTAATTCTGTACATGTGATTTTGTATTTTGCTTTTTTTATACAACAATGCATTATAAACATGTATTTCACTAAATATTTTTCTATTTAGTGATACTTTTTTTTTTTGGTTAATCCTCACTTGAGGATATTTTTTCCATTGTTTTTCAGAGACAGAAGGGAGTGCGGGGGAAGAGAGAGAGAAGCATTGCTGTAAGAGAGAGACATCAACTGGTTGCCTCCCTCAGAGAGTCAACCAGCAATCGAGGTGTGTGCCCTTGGAATCGAACCCGTGATCCTTTGGTGCACAGGCCAGTGCTCTAACCACTGAGTCACACCAGCCAGGGCTTGAAACATCATTGTTAATGGCTGAGTAATGTTCTATCACTGTCTGGATGTGCCGTAACTAACTTGGCTAATCCCTTATTTTTGGACAACTAGGTAATTTCTTAACTTTAATTTTGAAGACAGATCAATGCTTATATCCATGATCTCTATTTATAATCTGATTCCACACAAAGGTAATACAGAACTCTGGGAGGGGGGAGCTATTTCATTTGCTCAACAACATAGTCAACATTTAGCTACATGATTTTTTTGTTGTTGCCTAAAACATTCTCTAAGGTTTTTCCCTAATTGTTGTAGAAAGAATAAACAGTTGGGCAGGCCTTTTCCATAGGGTGTACTGAATGGCAGCAATGTGGAACTAGATCAGAGAGTCAAAGAGGAGCAACATGAGGACGTGTGACATAGATTAGTGCAGAGAGAGCAGACTGATGAGCTGGGTGTAAAAATAGAAAGGAGACTGTATGTGAGAAAAGAGTGATTCTTTGTCCTTAGACTGCCCCATGCTCTTGGTATAGATGAGATTTCTTAATAATACATTTCTCTTCAGTGCTATAGCTGTTCTTGGAAGAGAAACAAGATAATTTGCCAACATAAACCATGTGATTTCACTTGATAGAACTCAAGACACTATATGAATTAGGTTTTGCAGTTTGAATGAAGATAGAAATGGTCATTAAGTTATCAGGGAATCTTTGCTGACTGTTCGCAGTACAAAGACATATTACACATCCCAGGAAATAGAGACTGGAGAGTTACAGCTTATCTTCCATTCAGCTTTGCAAACCCTTTTTATTCTGGAAGGGAGTTTCTTGAGACAAGCTGATTATGAAATTTTCTCCTGGAAGGATAAACTAGTTTTAAGTTTTAAACAAGTTGATGATGATGATGATAAAAGTAACATACACAAATAGAAATAACAAGATATCAGGTGTTGTTCCAGAGTGTGAGGAAATGTCAAAGGAAGTGTAAGTGTTACAGCATTATCTAATAAAAATTGCTACCCTCAGAACCAAAAGTGGACTCATTTTTACTATACAGAAATAATTACATATATCAAGGATGTTTGATGCAATTTACTTGTGTGTTTATGTATCAACAGGAACACACGTAAAGCAATCCTGTATTTTCTTGTTATATGTATGAAAATGCCTATGAAAAGCCTGATGTTTCCTCTGAGGACAATAGAGGGAGTTGAGTGGGTATCTCAAAGAAGACCTATACCATTTCACAGTTTTTAAAGGAGAATATATGTTATTTGTATATATGCCCTTTTAGAACAAAAGTATGGTGCAAAAGTGCAGACAGGGGCCCTGGCAGGTGTGGCTCAGTTGGTTGAGCGTCCTGTGCACCAGAAGGTTGCCGGTTTGATTCCGTCAGGGCACATGCCCCCGTAGGGGCGTGCAGGAGGCAGCTCATCGATGATGTTTCTCTCTCATCGATGTTTCTGTCTCTCTATCCCTCATCCTTCCCTTCCATCTATAAATCAATAAAAACTTTTTTTTTTTTTAAAAGTAAAAGGAATCTACAGGACATCCGAGTGAAGATGTACAGGAGGCAGCTGGGGAAACAGGTCTGGAGCTCAGAAGAAAAGAATGGTCTAGAAATACCAACTGCATGCTTAGGAAGCTTACTGTGTGTCACTGAGGGATTAACCAACCTTTTTCCCCCCAATACAGATACTTTAATTGTGAAAGGACCAGTGGCTGTCCTCAAGGCCAACAGAGTCTGGGGAGTATTACGAGGTAAGGCCTATAAAGTTTCGTTGCTCTTTTCTAGTAAAGAAATCTTTTCAGTTGGTGCTTTGGGAAACAAGCAAAACTGCTTCCTCAGACACTTGGTAGAATGGGTTGTTGGGTATTTCCAAAATGATTTCAGGCTGACCTTTTAAAAAGCTAGGGTCGCCCGGCCGCGCGTGGCTCAGCGGTTGAGCGTCGACCTAGGATCCAGGCGATCGGGGTTCGATTCCCGGTCAGGGCACATGCCCGGGTTGCGGGCTCGATCCCCGGTCGGGGGCGTGCAGGAGGCAGCCGATCAATGACTCTCATCATTGATGTTTCTCTTTCTCTCTCTCCCCCTCTCCTTTCCTCTCTGAAATCAATAAAGATGTATTTTTAAAAAAGCTAGGGTTATTGCATCCAGTGCTGTAAATTCACTGATGCTCTTGGAACTGCCATGTTCCAGAGTTATAAATGGCCCCAACATGACCTGAGTAGGGGATTTTGTTTCACTCTCACTTAAATATGTTTTTATTGATTTCAAAGAGAGGAAGGGAGAGGGGGAGAGAGCGAGAAACATTGACGGGCTGCCTCCTGCATGCCCCCTACTGGGGATCGAGCCCACAACCCGGGCACGTGCCCTGACCGGAATGGAGCCAGTGGCCTCCTGGTGCAGGGGATGTCGCTCAGCCACCTGAGCCACACCGGCCGGGCTCACTCTCACTCCTTGCTGCCTTCAGTAACAAGCACTGTTTCCCCTCATTTTATTTATTTATTTTTGGCTGTTTCTTAAAACAAAAGTTCTCTCATATCTAGTACTGAACCAATCTACTAGTCAAGCAGCGGACAAAGAGAAAAACCATCTTCCCATTAAAAACATGTCTGGCTGTCCAGATAGTGGTGGTGTTTGCAGCTTGATATGGTAAGGTGCTGACGGCCTTGACACAGCATGACTGAGCCACCTCACCTGCGACACGTGGGCTGAGCCGGCTCTCCTCCGCTGTCTCCTCTTGGAGTCAGGCCTGCACCTGTTGCCAGTTTTCATCGGCGCACCGGGGAATGGGACAGGTCTGCTTCTCTGGCCAGGACTCGCCTGATCCTGAGGATCTTGTGAGAAAGCACGATAAGAGTCGCCAGCACAAACCATGAGGACAGAGAGCGGGAGAGGCCCCTCCCCCCATTTAAATGCCCGTGGATTTAGAAACGTAACGAAGTTTACAGGAACAGTGAAAGGACAAAGAGTGGTTGGAACACTAGAGTGGAAGCAGTGGGCAGAGAGGAACCCTAAACGCTTTTCCTGTGAATTTCAGAGTCTGAACTTCAAAGTTTGGGCTTTGGGTCATTTACTTTTGCTATACAAAAGCTCATTTTACCTCTTCTTAGTAGATATTATACTGACTTCCAAATAGTAAGGTTTTTAAAAAAGATAATATTCTTTAGCATGAGCTAACCAAAGTTAATAGTACTTAACAATAAAGGCAGCTTTGGGTTTGACTCAGGTTGAGTGTTATCTCAAGTACAATAATCATATATAAATAATCAAATAATCATTGTTTTATAGTCATAATAAAAGTGGCATGATCATAATCTTATTTCAAAGTAGAACATGAAAATATCGATATTTACTACAAACGTAACTGCAATCATTACCATCTGGGTCATTTATATATATAGCAGAACCTTGGTTCTCAAGCTTAATTGGTTCTGGAAGACTGTTCAAAAAGTGATTTGTCTGAAAACCATTACATTATTTCCCATTAGAAATAATGTAAATGGAATTAATTTGTTCCAAACCACAGAGGATTCCATTTTAGCCTTTCTCAGTTGCCTGTGATCACTGTTTCGTGAGCACTGTCACACCCTTGGCAACGTCAGCACTCTTGATGGCCTCTTCGTGTTTTAAAATTGTGCCAGTCATCAGTTTTTATTTAGTAGCCAGATCAGACATGTGAACACCTCTATCATACTTTTCAATTATTTCTTTTTAAAGCTCTGTTGTTGTTCTCACAACTTCCCTTTCACTTTGCTGCTACACCAACCTTCTTGGGATCTGTGGTGACTTACTGTATGTATTTAAAATGTACAGTAAGTTGTCAATATTTTATAGTTTTCAGGGTAGAGATCTTTCACCTCCTTGGTTAAATTTATTCGTTGATATTTTACTCTGTTTGATACAACTGTAAATGGGACCATTTTCTTAATTTCTCTGATAATTTGTCATTAGTGTGTAGGGATATTGATTTTGTATCTTCTAATTTTACTGAATTTGTCATAAATGGTCATTATTATGTTGAGAGTATGGTCCCTCTGTATGCACTTTGTTGAGTTTTTATCATAAATGGACGCTGAATTTTGTGAAACGCTTTTTCAGCATCTCTTCCTGGGATGTGTCACATTGATCTTGGATGAACCCTCCGCACATCCCTGGAACAAATCCCCCTTGACCGTGCTGTGTGACCCTTTGAATGGATCATTGAATTTGCTTCCTAATATCTTGTTGAGGGTTTTTGCACCTGTGTTCATCAGGGACTTCAACTGTAATTTTCTTCTGTGTCATGTCTGATTTGGTAGCAGGGTAGTGCTGACCTCGTAAAATCAGTTTGGAAGTGTCCCCTCCTCTTCTGTTTTGTGGGAAATTTGAGAATGAGTATTAATTCTTCTTTAAATGCTTGGTAGAATTCACTAGTGAAGCCCTCTGGTCCTGGACTTTTGTTTGTTGAAAGGTTTTTGATTATTGATGCAGCCTCCTTACTAGCAATCAGTTTGTTCAGGTTTCCTATTTCTTTATAATTTAGTCGTGGTAGGTTGTATGTCTATCCATTTCTTCCAGGTTGTCAAACTTGTTGGCACGTAATCGTTCATAGTAGTCTCCTACAATAATCAATTTTAACATCTCCCCTCTCATTTCTGACTTTGAACTGTTAGGTTAAAATCTTCCCTGGCTATGTAGTTGGCAGCTAGAATGTGGAATTTTGGTAAACTCAAGCCTGCGTAGAGGAATTGCCCTGTAATATAGTGTATTAAGGGAACAGGCCACGTGAGTAAAAAATGTTCAGGAGATAGGCTTTGTGGCTGTGAGTAAAACATTGTAAGTTGCAGTTGGGCCTTTAAAGTTTCATGGTGGTTTTTTGAGCCTTTTTTCCCTCTTTAAGTTTAGGTACCTTCTAAAGTGTCTATATTTTATCATAAAAACTCCTACTCATGCTGCTATAAATTTACTGTATTAGAAACTGTTATTTTGGTTTTAAAATCACTATCCTTTTTTTGTGCTTATTCAAACGGGCTACAGGAACTATGAAGTTACTTTTATTAATAGCAACAGGGATTTTTTTGAAAATTGAGCCTTTAGAAAATGTTAGAGAATAACGATATAACACTATCATTTAATTTTATTTGCCTTACATGGTTATGGTTCTGTGTTTGGATAATACAGCTTTTATTGTTTCAGCTTATTATTTTATAAATTATACAATAAACTATAAATTTTACTTTTCCCTAGGTTTAGAGACCTTTAGCCAGTTAATTTATCAAGATGCTTATGGGACTGTAAGTATTACTGTCATACATTACCTGCGTTTTTGGGAAAACATATTACTACAAGAAAAATGTAAGCTTTTTAGCTAGTGATTGCTTCTTGAAGGTTTCTTCTCCCCAAATATTTATCTTAGCTGGTAAATTTCACATCTTTTTTCTTCTAAATTAATCTTTTTATCCAATATGTGCATGGATAGATGTAGTCTTTATTGAGCTCAAATCAAGAGAAACTTCTAAAAATAAATTGAAATTTATTTTGTCTTACAGTTCACCGTCAATGAATCCACCGTTAGTGACTCTCCCAGGTTTCCTCATAGAGGAATTTTAATTGATACAGCCAGACACTATCTGCCAGTTAACAGTATTCTTAAAACTCTGGTAGGTAATTATTTTCTTTTAACCCATTGTATATCCTGAGGATGTGTCCCTTTATGTCGTTACTTTACGTCGGTTGCTTATGCTATTCATGTACTAAGTGGAAGCACTGGGCTTTCTCCCCTCTTCCTTGTGAAGTGTATTTCCTTAGCTGCAAAGCAGGGGCTTCCCTAGGGAATCACCCTCTTGTTTTCATGGGGGCGGGGGACTCAGCAGATTTAACCAGGATTAACAGAAAGACAGTTTTAATTTAATTTATTGATTAAATTTACTGGGGTGACATTGGTCAGCACGATCATACAGGTTTCAGGTGAGAAAGACAGTTTTCATACTCTCCTGGCCTCTTGTATACTCTCCCTTGTCGAGTCATGGTGAGGAATGTGCCGTCTCGGTACCTCTAGTTAGTTCCTTTAATTTGGGACCTCCACTTTCTTTATAGTGGCAGAAGAAGTCTGGGAGCTGCTTTATACCTAGGGAAATGTCCCAAAGGTATGTGTAACCTCAGGTGGTAAGAGCTGGGTGCCAGGCTGACAATAACTATTTTCTCCCACAGACTTTTTATTGGTTCATCCCCATCATCACTGCCAATTTATAGTGGTGGGGCTGGGAGGTTTCCTCCCATGTTTTTCTGTATCTTCACTTGATCATTTACAAATACACCATGTTATTAAAAAATTATTCTTACATTTACATTAATACCGATTTTTTTTCCTCCAAAAGACATTAGTCACTTTTATGAAATGTTTAGTGTAAAAACTTCACGTAATAAAATAGGTGGTAATCCCATAATTTACCAAAGATCAACGTAAGTTTTTATGTCCCATTTATTTCATTTTAGACTTAAAAAATAAATATATTAACAAATAATGTGACTTTTAAAAAACTTAAATGGGATTATACTTTGCTACCTTTAAAATAGACTGTTAGGGACATCTTTCCATGAAAGACTATATAAGGGCTATATCAATCTTTTTAAACAGTTGAATATTCCGTTTTATATACCGTGATACGTATTTAACCAGTCTCCTGCTGATGGACATCTACGTTAATTTATTATCACAAATAGCACTGCAGAGTAGCATTCTTATATTTGCACACTTGTCAGGAATATTTCCTGAGGATACATTCTTAGAAGTGAATCTCTGGGCTTAAGACTGTATACGGTTTACCTTTTGGGACGGACGGTGAGATTGCCTTCTAGAGAGGTCACACCGTCGCGTGCGTGGCGAACAGTGGGGCACAGCTTTGCCACATTCTTTGCTAACCTGGTGATGAAGTATATCTCCTTGTTTTATTTGCACTTCTTTAATTTTTAGTGAATATAAGCCTCTTTTACTAACTATTTGTATTTTTGGCATTGCAAACTACAAGTTTATTTTCGATGTGCATTTTGTCTTCTAGAACATTAATTCCTTCCTTGTTGACTTAAGAGCTCTTTAATGTTATATTGGTTTATAGATGTGCCAATGATACTTTTATATTTGTTTATATTTATGATATTATTATCCATCATATATTGTGAAGTTTTCTGTGTTTTTTAAACTATGTTTATAGTATAGTGTCTTTTGTCTGTAGAAGTTTTAATTTTTTATGAAGTATTTTCTTTCAATATTGTCCTCTATTGTTTTTGACCTTGGGAGGTATGCTAAGAAAGGCCTCCAAAACAGGTATAAATATAAAAACCTCTCAAATTTTCTTTTAGATTATGTTTTTTCTTATTCTTGATTCAATTAGAATTGGGTTGTTGTGGGTGTTTGCTTTAATTTTGTTTTTTCTCCAGTAGTTAGTCCCAACATCATTTCTGAGCAATCTGTAATCTCCCCACTGCTTTCCGTATCATGACTAGCAAATAGTAAACTCCATAAATACACAAGTCATTTTCTGAACTCTCAGTCTGTCCTACTTACCAGTTTATCTTCTTGGGCCAGCATAGATGGTTTTAATTTCTGTAACTTTAGAAGTTGTTTTTATTTGAAGTAATTTCAAACTTACAGAAAAGTTGTAAGAAGAGTGCAAAGGACTCCCCCACACTGTTTACCCAGACAACTCAATTTAAAAATTGTGCCATATTTGCCTTATTTTTCTTAAACCATATGCAATTTGCACATGAAACACCCCAGTACCCCTTAATAGTTCTGTTTGGATTTCCTAAAAAATAGCACTTATTTCAATAACTATAGTACAACCATCAAAAATCAGGAAATTGACATAATCCTCAGACCCCATTCACATGCCATCAGTTATTCCAATAATGTTCTTTATAGGTTCAGCATCCAATGCAGGATCAGGTGTTGTATTTATCTGTCATGTCTTTTTAGATGCCTTTAATTTGGAACTATTTATCTTTACTTGACTTTCCAGACCATGACATTTTTCCCAATTAGTTTGTAGAATGTACTTCAGCTTGTCTTTTCCCATGATTAGATTCAGGCTGTGCATTTTTAGCAGGACTGAGGCAGATGTAACCCCCTGTTCTGCTCCGGGCACGTCAGGTGGCAGGCAGCCTTATTTTCCAGTATTGGTAGTGTTAACTCTTATAACTTGACTAAGATGCCATCTGCCAGGTTTGTCCAGGTAAGGTTAATTAAAAAGTATTTTGTACTTATAAGTAAATAAGTATCTTGTGGGACAATATTTTGAGAGTCTGTAAAATTCCTGTTCTTAATCCGGCATTTACCCACTAGTCTTAGCACCCAGATTTTTTTTTTTTTTGAAATATATCTTTATTGACTTCAGAGAGAGGAAAGGAGAGGGAGAGAGATAGAAACATCAATGATAAGAGAGAGTCATTGATCGGCTGCAGCCCACAACCCGGGCATGTGCCCTGACCGGGAATCGAACCCTGATCGCCTGAATCCTAGGTCGACGCTTAACAGCTGAGCCACGCCCGGCTGGGCGGCACCCAGATTCTTGCCTAAATCAGTTATTACTAAGTTGGCCACCAGGTGGTGGTGATTTTCTAAATTCCATCATTCCTTCTATGTTTCTTAGTTGGCATGAAATTTTACTGTAAGATAAGAGTTTCTCTTTAAGTACTTTTTAAAAATCAGTTTGTACTCAGGGATTACTGGTGGTTTTTTTGAGGGGACTATAATCTGTTACCATCCCCATTTAATAGTCACACTCTCAGTGTTGGCCAGCAGGAGTCCTTCTAGCTGACTCCTGTATCCTTTTGGCATGTCTCCTTTAATCTTTGAGCAATTTCTGACTTTTTAGCACATGAATATTCCAGGCTTACCTTTTTGCTTTCCCAGTCCTGGAATCAGACTTTTCTCCAAGCAACACTTAGTTCGTGAATGATATTTTGAAACCAAAACCCAGGCTGTAGGTGTACTCATTGTTTCTAGGCCCTCTCAGCAATCAGAGCTATAAAATAAGTGTGTATGTTTATGTACATTTATGTGAACACACACACACATCTTTACCTATTTCTCTATCTGTCTGTATCAGAGGCTGACAAACTACAGCCCAAGGACCAAATCCAGCTGGTCACCCATTTTTGCAAATGAAGTTGTACTGGAATACAGCCATGTCCATTCGTTTACATATTGTCTTGCCTTACAACTGTAGGATCAGTTGTGACAGAAACCAAACAGCTCTCCAAAATCAAAATATTTACTACCTGGCCCTTTGTGTAAAAAGTTTGCCATCTCCTGGTCTTCATTAAAAACCACGAGGAACTCCCTTGTCTGGCAATGCAAATCCTGCCATTATCCTCACTGCATTTATCCCTTTGCACAATCCCCTTATATGTAAGCTATTTCCCAAAGGCACGAGGAAATCCTTTCAGTCCGATGGAGAAGGGAGGCTTTAAATTTGGATTATCTGTGAGGGCAAATATCCCTTTATAATTTTATCTTTTTTGAATAATCATATTTTATATAAATATTGTTGATTCCTCTGGAGTAAGCATGTCAGTTTCCCCAAAAACTCCTCAGAATTTTTATTGGAACTGTATTGCATTTGCGTTATTTCTAAGGAAGGGTTGGCACTCAAATCTCAGACCTGGGAATTATTAGCTCTGGTACTTGAATGCCTCATTTTCTTCTGCTCTATTCCCAAATATAATAGTAGCAGCCAAGAACTATTTTCCATCCTTGGCCGACCCCCCAATACTTACTGGGAATGTATAAGCTTGCTCCCTGCTCATGGAGCAGTTACAGCTCACTGTTTAGAATGTACAGATTCTATCTAGGCTTTCTGAAATATGGCATGCCATGTGGACTATGTAAGATATGGGATTTATACTTCTTCCACATTCTTTCTTTGCGGAAATTTTTCGAAGGAAGCAGACACATTGGAAACAATCCTTGAGTGGAGACATGTAAATTGGATCATGTGTTCTATCTGTGGTATATAATTTTTAACATGTTTTTTGCAGGATGCCATGGCTTTTAATAAGTTTAATGTTCTCCACTGGCACATAGTTGATGACGAGTCTTTCCCTTATCAGAGCACCACTTTTCCAGACTTAAGCAATAAAGTGAGTAATTCATGTTGTGGTCTACAAAAAATTTTGGTAGTTTCATTAGAATGTAGCTTTAATGCTTCTTCTTATGGATAGAATTAAAGTGTAAAAGATATTTGTGGTTTTAAATGTTTTTTAATAGGCTGTGGCTTAGCATTTTAGATCCATAAAACTGTTCTGTTTTTATAATTGTTATTATAAATGGAAACAATCTCCAGGGGTTATATAAATAAAATTTTAAAACCTTAATGAATGTAGGAGACCTGACACATTCATGATTCAAATAAGGTTAAGTAATTCTATTTATCAAGTAGTCCAATTGTATATTTGTTTTAAACAATTATTTTGAATTCTGTGACTATTTTTCTCTCTGAAAAGCTACATGAAGTAGGTAATTTTAGAAATGAGAGCTCCTTCTTAGAAAATAATGGTCGTCTCAGAAGTGTTCAGATTGATCATATTAGAGACCAGTGGAGCTGGGAGCAAGCCTCAGTATCATCTACTTTAACCCCATATAATCCAGAAACAGTAATTGAGAAGCTATATGCCTTGTCCAGAGTTGCAGAGCCAGGACTCAAAATTTCATTCTCTGGCCATAATTCCAAAGCTTTCACCAGTGCTGTAACATAGTATGGGCTGAAATGCTAGGAGCACTCCTGTTTTTGTTTGCTTTTGTTTGCTTTTGTTTTACTTTTTATTATATTAAAATTTTATTATATTAAAATTTTGAACATATACAGAAGTAGAATAATTTAATGAATTTCCCTGTCCTCATCTCCCAGCTTCAATAATCAGAACATGGACAATCTTATATCACCTATATTTCCCCCCACCATTATTTTGAAGCAAATCCAAGACGTCATATCTCATTGTGAAAAGGCCTGTTTAAAAAACAAAAACCATGAAACATTATTGCAGCTAAAAAAATTAAAAATCCAGAGAGCCATTTCCCCAAGCCCTTTAAAAGATAGATAGATGATAGATAGATAGATAGATAGATAGATAGATAGATAGATAGATAGATAGATAGATGATAGATAGACATCTTTATTATTTCAGAGAGAGGAAGGGAGAGGGAGAGAAAGAGATGGAAACATCAATGATGAGAGTCATCGACTGGCTGCCTCCTGCACGCCCCTGACTGGGGATCGAGCCTCAACCCTGGCATGTGCCCTGACCGGGAATCGAACCTTGACCTGGATCATAGGTCGATGTTCAACTTCTGAGCCACACCGGCCAGGCCCAAGCCCTTTCCTTAATTAAATAAATAAAAATTTGCATTGGGGTGCAAGGTCAATACATTGTGGTCAGTTCATATGTCTGCTAATTCTCTTTTGATCTATAGGTGCCCAGTCCTGCCCATCTCTTTTTTTTTTTCCTTAAAATGTTATTTTTTGATGAAGAAATGAAGCTATTTGTTCAATAGTTTCCCATAGTCTGTCTAGATTTTGCTAATTGCATTCCCGTAGTGTCGATTAACACATTCTTCTGTATTTACTATAAACTGGTAGACTTAATATTAGATCTAATCTTGATTAGATACCAAATTTGACTTGCGAGATGGGGGAAAGGCTACTTTGAGGAGTTGAACATTTATATTTGTATATTATATATACATTATATATACATTTATATATTATATTTATACCTTGAGAAATGTGCTACAGTCATACCTTTAATGGACCTTTATCTTTAGTTACAACCAGTATTGAGTTCTAACAAGGAACTGAGGGTAACCTTAAAGAAATATCTGGTCACTTATCAGAGGGTCTCTGGGGGAATTTTTAAAGCTGATAGTAATTAAAGTGACTTTGAAAGACAATAGCTATGCTTTGTAGTAATCTGTGGATTTTTATTTTAAATTGACAAGAGCAATGTATTCCATTTCCAGAGGTTTCACTTTGGAGTCAAACATTTTATTTCTGTTTTGTTGCATGGTTACATGAGATTGAAACGGCATAATGGAAGACATTCCTAGGGCCATTTGGATATTTATAACATCACTTGTGGGCCATTCAAAATTATCAACTTAAAAATTAGCTATGAAAGAAGCTCCTAGATTTATTGAATTTCGAGTTCTGCCTACAGTTTGCCTTGGCAGGACCAGACCAAATGATTTCGCAGGCATATATGGCCCGCAGGCCGGACATTCCCCACCCTGGTTTAGATAGTTCTATCAGTAAATGTGGAATTAACCTAAAGTATGCTGAGAGCTTATAGATAAGATATGGTAAATAATTTAAATGAGTCATCCAACATCACATGGAACTATTTAATACATTGTGACACTGGAAAAATCAGCTATGAGATACGGAACTGCAATCAGAACTGTTAAGTTTTCAGGACCAAATCCATTTGGTACATTTAAATTTTAATCAATATGGCTTTTACAGGGAAGCTATTCTTTGTCTCATGTTTATACCCCAAATGATGTCCGTAAGGTGATCGAATATGCCCGATTATGGGGGATTCGAGTCATACCAGAATTTGATAGCCCCGGACATACACAGTCTTGGGGAAAAGGTAAGTGTTTTATGAGTTGCAAAAACTGAACATTTGAGGTCCTGCATCTCTTATTTTATGACTTGGTGTTTGCTCATTTTGTTCTTAGTTGTGATTTACACAAAAGGTAGCAACTATTGACATATAATTCAATAACTGTGGGTCTGTTGTGAGCAAGTCTCTGTGCCTAGGCACTGCCTCCAGTATAAAAACAAGGGAGAAAGGCAAACATAAAGAGTGACTACGAGAAGTAGAACATAGTAAGTGAATTCAAGAAATGGCTTTATGGATGAGGTAACACTTAAAAAGCTTTTGAGAGATCAGAGAATATGTTCGTGCTGCTGGTGGAAGGAGTAGCATGAGGAGGCACCTGGCTGGAGCTCAGTGCAGCAGAGGAAGGGGATTCGTATTACAGGGTGGTTAAGACCTGGCTCTGGAGCCACGCTGCCTGGGCTTGAATGCTGCTTCTGCCGTTTATAACTGAGTGACCTTGGGTAAGTTACTGAACATCTCGTCCTCATTTTCCCCATCTCTAGAATGGGGATGTTAGCAGTAGCTACCATATAATTTTTTGAGGATTAAATGAGTGTCAAGCATACAGCCCAGCCCGTAACTTTTATAACTGTTCAATAAGTATTATTAGGATAGACATGGAGAAGAGTGGACAGGCAGTCTGGATGAATAGTGTAGAGGGCCTTGCATGAGCAATGTGGGCTTCATCAGGACACACGGAACCAGTAAAGCTGGAAAGCAGATGAGGGACATGAGGGAGCCACGCTTCAGGAAAGTGACAGATTGGAAGGGGAAAGAGACTGAATTCCCAGATCAAAATGGTGATAGCAGAAATGGAAAATGTGCAGAACTGAGGGACATTTTGGAAGTATAATCCATGGAACTTGGCAACTGATGGACTTCAGGAGGTGAGGTGAGGAAAGAGTTTAGACTAGGAGGATGGTAGTGCCCTTACCAGAATACAAAACTCAAGAAAAGCTATTGAAGCAGCTTAGGGAGCAGAAAATTTAGTTTTTGTTGGATTGTATTTGAAGTGCAGATAGGACGTCTAATTGTGTTGAGCAGAGAATCTGAAATATGGATTGAAGCTCACGAAAAAGGGTTGTGGCAAGCTTAAGATTTGGGAATCATTAATATTCAAGATAATATCTGAAGTAGATAAAATCTCAGAGAGGCTGATGGAAAGGGAAACAAAGAGGTACAGGGATAGGATTCAGGAAACAATTCTCCATCTTACTTGGGAGAAATCACCATAGTAACTCTTAGTAAGCATGCTTATCTTTTTCTGTATACAGTCTCTTAGAGCTTCAACAAAATAAAGTAGTATAATCATGTGCTAAGCCATGTCTTTGTGATTAAAATACTTTTTAAGAAAAGAATCTTCGTATTTTCCTCCAGGTCAGAAAAATCTCCTGACTCCATGTCACGATCGACGTTCGCCTTCTAATAACCCTTTTGGACCTATAAATCCTATTTTGAATACAACTTACAGCTTCCTGTCTAAATTGTTCAAAGAAGTCAGTTTGGTATTTCCAGATCAGTTCCTTCATTTGGGAGGAGACGAGGTGTCATTTAATTGCTGGTAGGACAATTCTTTAAAACCCTTCTTTTGTTAACCATTGCATCTGAAGCAGGGTTACAGGTCTCCAAGTGAAAAGGGAAGGCTTGGGGCGATACCTCTGCTGGCATGGTTTTAATCTGGCAACACAACTCCTGAGACGGTGCTTTGGGAGGTATGAGAAAGTAAAAGCTTTTAGGAAGGAGACTCAAAATGCAGAAGAACATGGAGATTAAGGGGAAAAAAAGACTAGTGAATGAGAACAGCTTTAGTGAGAGGGCAGTGAGTAAAGGGGGGGGGGAGGCACTTTTTCAACTAAAAAATCCCCTTTGCAAACAGCATTAGATGGAGGGGAGAGGCGGGAGGTAGGGAAAGCCACTTTTACAAGAAAGCGGCTGGGAAAAAGTATTTGCCATGGAAAACAAAGGTAATGCATAACTGAGTTTTTAAGTTTTTAAATTTATTTTACTCTACAACTTTAACTGTTTTAAATTGGCTTTACATAGATTAGGCATATCAGACTTTTAATGACATTTTAATCATTTTTTTTTTTTCTTAAGGCACTCCAATCCAGATATCCAGAATTTCATGAAGCAGCATGGCTTCGGCAGCGATTTTGAAAAACTACAATCTTTCTATATTCAAAAGTAAGACGCTTGAAACAAGCCTTTTTGTTTTTGTTTCATCATTGCCTTTTGTAGAAGTTTTAGCTATTACCAGTACTGTTTTATTTCTTCATTTTCTCTCTACCCCTTGCTAAGGTGTAGATGTTGTAAGTCATAAAGGAGGAAGCATTATCCACTGCTTCCTTCCAATCAGTGACACGGCAACTCTAATATCTGTTGAAATGGAGGACAGCAGTATGTCCTGAGAACTCAGCTGAGTCCTGGCTGCCCTTCCCAGTCTCCATCACTGTCCCGCCCCTGGAATTCATTCCCTTGTGTCCACTTCAGGAGCACTGTTTCGTTCTGCACCTGTGCTGTCCAGTACGGTAGCCATAGCCGTATGTGGCTGTTTGCATTTAAGTTAAAGGAAATTAAAAATTCAGTTCCTTAGTCACATTAGCCACATTTCAGTGTCCAGCAGCTGAATGAGGTTAGTCAGTGGCTCCTGTATTGGAAAGTGCACATACATGAACATTTGCCTCACTGCAGAAAGTTCCACTGGATAGTGCCGCTCTGTAGCAGGGATCAGTAAACTTTCTTCTGTAAAGGCCAGATAGTAAATATCTTAGGCTTTGTAGGCCACATTTGGTTGCACATTTTTATTTTTTAAACAATACTTTACAGATGTAAAAACCACTTTTGGCTCATGAGCCACGTGAAAACAAGCTGCAGGCTGCAGTTTGCCTGCATTGGGCAAGCCCAGATTCTAGTCTTTTCCTCTTTAGCTTTTTGTATGATACATTCTAATTTTTTTAAATCCTGCAGAGCACCTGGCATGGTCTAAATATCAGGAAATACTTGTGGACTGGTTGTCAGCAACTGTTGAATGTTATTTAGGTGACATTATAGGCTAGGTCAGTTTCTTTTATTCTAAGATAGCCATGAAATTACTAGAGATTGCTGTTTGTATACTTCCCTATGAGCTGCTCTCTCTCCCTATTTTGGGGGCATGCTTAGCTCATTCATTCAGCTGTGCCAGCTTCTGAGCCGTGTCTTAGGAAGAAGGGGTCACACAGCTTAGCTGGTTCTGCTGTAAAGCTGTGCGATATTGAAAGGTACCTCTCAATGCTGCAGTCCTTGGTAGAAAATAGGCATGCTTTAAACATGTTAAGCTTGTGATTTGAAATCACCTTTTTTTCCAATGGTAGGCTTACGGATATTATTTCTACTGTAAAGAAGAGACCCATAGTCTGGCAAGAGGTTTTTGAGAATAACTCGAAGGTGAGAAGTGCAAAGACTACATTTGATTCTGATAATATGAGAGGCTTAATATTCTAACGTCTTGGATGGAAGAAACCCTAGTGAAGCTCCAGTTCCCCAACACTTAGCTTCCTTTCCCATAGAACTCCCATTGGGCAGTAGCTGCAGACTGAGGCCAGTGTTAAGGGCATCTGCTGCTTTTCTTCCATATACTTCACTGTTTAGTGCCCCCTCACCTTTCCCCTGCCGGCTCATTAATCACAAATTGAAGTGCTTTGAAGTAAGTTCCTTTTTTCAGGAAAGAGCAGGACAAACAGATAAGAACAAATGAGTCCTTACTGCTATTAAGGTCATTTTAAGTAAAATGGTCAATGTACCCTTTTTCCTTTCAATGGCATCTCTCCCACATAGTCAGAATTCCTTATTTTCCTTTGGGGCAACTGAGACTTTGCAACTCCAGCAATTAGTGTTAGCTTCCCAGAAGGGTTGGTGACATCTTCACAGTTTCAGAGTAAGTCCAACAGTAGTGTGGTAGGATGGGACCACAGCCTTGGTTCATTATACCTGCATGGTGTCATAAATACGCAAAAGTTAAGTATCCAACTTGAAAGGTGATGCAACTTCTAAGTCTCTAGAAGAAATAGTATTCTGAGGGGGAAGGGGCCGATGTGTATGGTTTTTCAAGGATCTTATTTTTCTAGTTATAAGTCTTGCACTTTAAGTTTCATCTACTGTATTTTCTAGATCTCTTATTATATATTGCAATTTTTAACTTTAATAGCTTCAGCCAGGCACTGTAGTTCAAGTATGGAAAGAGGGGTATGATGTTATACTAAGCCGTGTCACAGCAGCTGGCTTCCCCGTGATCCTCTCTGCTCCGTGGTACTTGGACTGGATCAGTTATGGACAAGACTGGGTAAAATACTATCGCGTGGAACCTCTTGAATTTAGCGGTAAGTGAAGCACCCCCATTCTCCTGATTTTCTCCCCTCCCCCCAGGAAATCCTTACCCAGATACTGCCTACTGACTCTCCTCCCTTTTATGTGTGATTCATTTTATTTGTGTTTACTTAAAAAGAAAGGCCTTAGTATTATTTGAAATGTTGTGAAAGAAACCAGATCCTTATCTAAGAACTTCAAAAGTAGATTCCCTTAGATTTTGTCTCCATTTTCACAGATGAGTCTTGTTACTGTCTATCTACATTTTTTAATCCTCACCTGAGGATTATTTTATTATGGGTTTTAGAGAGGGGAAGGGAGAGAGAAACATCGACTGGTTGCTTCCGTACACTCTGCAGCCCGGGATGGAGCCCTGGTATGTGCCCTGACCAGGAACTGAACCCACAAGCTTGCTGGTGTGGGGGATGATGCTCCAGTCCACTGAGCCACCCAGCCAGGGCTCTCTACATTTTAAGGATGTTTGACTGCATTAACCTTGCATCTCCTCTTCTGAACTGCCTCTCCAACATACACCTACACAAGGCCATCATCCAGTTCAGCAGATTTCAGGCCGTGTAGTCTTAGGGTTTGAGGAGCAGGCATGGAGCTTCAGGCTCGCATACTGCCTTTGTTAAGAACAGCTGTACTCTGTCTAGGTTTGTACACCAGACCTGAATATAAAATTTCTTTTGAGAAAAAGGATTTTGCTGTTTTAGAAAGTTTCAAAACCACAGGTCTATTAGGAATTGACGTAACTTTCTCTGGAAAGCATTTTCTGAGAATCAAAGTCATAATTACTGTAAAACAAAGTATTAGGTATTTAGTCTCTTTTTCACTCCCAAGAGACAGATATTAAAGGCAGGGGCACGGTGGCCACTAGTATTCCAACTTGTATTCCCTGGCACACTATTCATAGGCAACCAGGGGAAAAAAGGTTTCTGGTGACCAAATCAGTTTGCAGAAAACCAATATAAAGTGGTATCTTTCACATTGGTTGACACATGCTAAAAAGCACTATGTGCACCACAGGGTCAGGGGTGGGAATCAAGTTTGCCACCTTTTCTTGTGCTACTACCATGAACACCTCCCAGGGTCCTGCTGACTACAGGAGAAAGACATTGCCCCGGGATACAGAGAGGAGTCAGTATTGCCTCTGTATGTAAGCCTTAAGCTGCAACTACTTCCATCAATCCAATGATTTTAATGTAGGTTCAAAGGAACAGAAACAGCTTGTCATCGGTGGAGAAGCCTGTCTGTGGGGAGAATTCGTGGACGCGACCAACCTCACTCCGAGACTGTGGTACGGCATTTAGGTGGTGACATTTGAATTAAGGTGCCTAGTTTTCCTTCCCTGGCCAAGTCGGGAAGCATTAGAAATTTAGAAACTCATTTTTTTTTCTTTTATTAATTTCAGAGAGGAAAGGAGAGGGAGGGAGAGAGGTAGAAACATCAATGATGAGAGAGTCATTGATCAGCTGCCTCCTGCACGCCCCCTGCTGGGGATTGAGCCCACAACCCAGGCATGTGCCCTGACAGGGAATCGAACTGCGATCTGGATCCTAGGTCAATGCTCAGGCTGAGCCATGCCCAGTCGGGCTAGAAACTCAATTCTTTGTGAAAACAAATTTAAATTGCTTTGGGAGACATGTGGTTTAAATTTTAGGCCTCGGGCAAGTGCTGTTGGTGAGAGACTCTGGAGTGAGGAGTCGGTCAGAAATGAAGATGATGCCTACAAGAGGCTGACGGCTCACCGCTGCAGGATGGTCCGGTAAGGCTAAGATACTAGTAAGTCCAGGGTGAGTTTTAAACCTTATTTACCATTAGCTAGCTTCTTGGGTATTTTTGCTATAAATAGAAATGTATGTAATCTAAGAAATAGTGACTTAATTAGGAAAAACTGGGAATAATACCTATAAGGAGAAGATATATTTGGACTTACAACCATTTTATAGCTATGCTAAATTTGGGTATAACTTGGACATCCATCTTGAATCACTAACCATCTCTTTAAAATAATTAATGCTGTGGTTGGTGATTCTGATCGAAGCTGCTAAGTTCTTTAAGATGGAAATTAGTCATCTCAATCTAAAACGTCTTTTATTCATACTTTATCTGCTCCACAGACGCGGGATAGCTGCAGAACCTCTTTTCACTGGATACTGTGACAATATGTTGAAATGAGCTGAAACCAGGAGGGAAGAGCCCACAGCAGTCTACTAATCAACTCAGTTTTGAAATCATGTAAATTAAGATTTGGTACATTGTGTTTGAATAAAATATCTTTGTATTGATTGAACTTTATCTTATACATTACTATAGAAGACTGGCATCTTTCTGTGAGAGAAGCTTAAAAAAACAAAACCTGGTGATATCACTCAATATATTCCAAAGGGCTGTGTCTTTACTGACCGTAATAACCTCATATATACACATGTAGTTCAGGTACATTAACTTTCAACATCAAAGCACACTTCTAATGATGTACAAAAGAATGGACAGCTACAGTGCCACTGTGAGGTGTTTTTTTTTAAATCCTCACCAGAGGATATTTTTTCCATTGCTTTTGTGGGGGGAGAGAGAGAGAAACATCGATGTAAGAGATCAATTGGTTGCCTCTCACACATGGCCCCAGTGGGCCAGGGATCAATCCTGCAACCGAGGTACATGCCCTTGACCAGAATCAAACCTGAGACCCTTCAGTCCAAGGGCCAACGCTCTAACCACGGAGCTAAACCAGCCAGGGCACCACTATCAGTTTTAAGTTACATTTTTCAGTCAGTGCTTTGAATATGCTGAAACAGTAATTTATTTCTCCAATAAATAAAGCAATAAAAATTGCTCTTACTGAAAACGAACAGGTAGTTGCTCCTGAATCTCCAAGGGCTCGAAGCACTTAGGTAAGGCCACTTCTCCGGCTGAGCAGTGTGCTCTGGTCTTGAGGACTCATGGCGTGGTAGTTACAGAGTTCCAAGGCAAAAGCAGCTGAGCCTGATGTTAGCGTTCGAAGCACAGTTGAATAACCCTAATCAGAAAGATTTAAATTTAAGCCCCAAGCTTCTCCTCCTGCTGATCTTTTACCATCACCAGGAAAGGTGACTGAGTAACTCATCCCTATCACTTCTTCAAATGGGGCTTTGAATCATTTTTCTCAGGAAAATGTGCCACAGAAACGTGGAGGACAGAAGCCAGTAGTGAGAGTGCTTCAGATGCGCTCCCTGGTCCCAGCATCTAGTAAGATGGCTGCCAGCACTCAGGTGCTTGCTCTGAAGCAGAGAGGCTGTACCTGCCTGAAAACCTGCAGTCGTAGAAATAGGGTAAGAGTTGGGAAGAGAAAAAATGACAGCTGGTGCCACGTTTTGGTACAGCACATCTCTACCTTTGTGGGGGCCCGGGAACGACCCCCATGCTGCTTGAATCCCCTACAGTTTAAATCCCAAGTCCTACCAGTTCCTGATGGCTGAACCTGAACATGCATCCTCTACACCGAAGCCCTGATGCTTCTCTCGGGTTACTGATGGTCTATTTTCGCTCAACCTATCTATCCCCCTATTAAAAGAAGAACATGTACTTTTCAGTCACAAGGTACCCACCATGATTTCTGCTAAGGGAACAAACCCAACCACCACTCTGTTGTCCTGACGAGTCTGGATCTCCTGGATGCTCCCTCTTCTCTGTGCCAGATCTGCCAGGACTGCGCTCAGGTGATCTCTAGTCACAGTAACCTCCAGGTTCATCAGGGGCTCCAAAACTTGCTTATCAGCTTTCTTCAGAGCCTAAAAAAATTAAAGAATGTTAATCCCTCTCCCCTAAATTGGAAATCAAATTTCTGTTAAAAAATTTCATTAAGAAAATAAATACTGCCCATACTTATAAGCCTAGAGCTCTGGCAAAAAGACGTATGCCTACTTTAGCGCTCTCTATAAAGGTAACAACAAAGCCAGAAACTTCAGCACTTGCTCACACACGCAGACAGCAGTACCCTGAGGGCTCGTGCGGGATGGTGCGAGGGGCTCAGGAAGCCAGATGACAGAGCACACCTGTGAATGTGCGGCCAGAGACAGTGAAAGAAAACAAGCTTCAGTCAAAGACTGACCTATTCACACTGAAACATCCTGTTTCATTCCTGATGCCGACAGAGTTCATGCCAGTCAAGCAGGGAATCAAAGGAGAGAGCTTAAAATTGAAATTTAACACAGTAAGGTAGTAGGTAGAAACACATCCTCTATATACAATAAATACAGGTTTGGCAAAACCTGTATTGGTTTATGGTTGTATGTGAAACAGTTTACTCTTGTATTATTTATTAATTTCCGCACAAACAACCGTAAACCTACTTTTGCCCACCCCTAGAGATCATCTGTTCAGAACTTCAGATTTCAAAGGCCAAGGAGAACAAGCACATGAAGAACATGGGAATTGAAAAGAGCTAAAATAGTGTAGGGCGAGAAAACTGGGGAAGCAGCAGCAATATAAGGAAACCTTACTGGGACTACCAGTCAGACACTGTCTTTAACAGTACCGTTACCTGAGACAACCTGGGAATGGATTTTGGATGGAGTCTGCAAACACCGTAAGGACTGGTGAGTTTGATTTAAAAAGCTATTGTGCTTCTCCAGCCTGCCAGACATCAAAAGTAACAAAACAGTTTCCTATAAATTCTAAGCCTGTTTGGTTACCAGGTGGATGTAATAAACTTAGAATTAGCAATGAGAACCAGATAAACAAGGGAGTCTGGCTCTCGAAGGTGCGCTGACCTTTACCTGGGTTTGGCTGATCACCTGTCTTCTGCTCCCACCCCACCACCACTCGTCATTATTACTAAGGCCTTCAGTGGGGCACTGTCATCGGGACCTATACTGTCAATGCTTCCGGGTCTCTAACCACTCTGTCCCTGCTACCTCGCCGCCTCCTTTCTCCCCTCCCCGTCTACCCTCACAGCCATGAAAAATGGCCAAATTAGTAAAGCCAAAAGTATATTCTCTTCATTACAGAAATTTCAAAAAAGTAGCACATGTACATAGTAAAACAATCTCAGTTCTTCATAGCTAATTAAGCCTTTACAATCATTAGCAACGGAAATGAAACAATATAAAAGGTATCTAGTAGTCCTTGAAAGAAAATGTTACTAAAAATGATGACAGTCAACAGCAAACAACTAACTTTATATCCTCTGTTCTTATCAAGAGCTTTGTGCCATTTGTCTTTTAGAACAAAGTAACGGAGTGGAAGAAGGTGAAGAGGAAACTGCTGCAGCTAAGGAGAGGGCTGTGTCCTGCGTACCGCCCCGGGCTCACGGGCCTGTCCTTCCCCCTTTTCTCCAGGCTTCCTTGATAACACTGCCTGAGCGCAGAGCTTCAGAGATGTCTGCACACGGCTTCCTCAAACTACCAGCCCCTGTCTCAGTGTCCCAGCCTTGTACTCCACTGGCCTACTCTGGGATATGTCTGTCTATCCTACAGCAACCCAATTTGCCCCCAAACTAAGCTCATCACTTTCTTTTCCAAACACTCTTGTCTGCTGATGGCATCACTGGTCTTCAGTTCACCTGGACACGCATGTATGACTTTTTCCCCCAAGTAACCTGAAAGACTTCCATTCCTATTCCACTCCCAGTTCCATGCTTGTGGTCCTAGTTCAGACCTAGTCCAATCCTTGTCCTAAACTAGCTCTTCCCTACTCCAGTCCCTCCTGGATTCCAATGATTATACTGCCCTCTTCAAAAACTATTCATCACTCTTTCCAAAACAAACCTCAAACTCCTAACAGTACTTTTTAAAGGTTTCTCTACAGTCAGACTCTATTTTACCTTTCCAACCTGTTTTTCACTGCTCCCTTGCCTTCATCTGATAACTACAACTACACAGACTCTTTCATTTCTCCATCTGGAATGCCCAACACCATGTCCAAATTCTCCAAATCATCACAGCTCAAATATTAATTTCTTTCCAAGAATCTGCCCAAATTGCACTTCTCAGCTTTTATGGTTCCCAGTCCGTTCTACCTAATATTTTGGCTATTTGTCTATTTTAATTCCCTTCTAAATCTAAGGCTCCTAAAGGCCAAGAAGAAACACAGGAATCCTGTGTCCATCTCAATGCCCAGTACCCTGCATCACAACACAGATGGCTCAATACATACATGAAACATCCTCAGCTTCTCATAAGCAGAGAGAAAGAGCTTCCCCACTAGGTAAAGCTTAACAAGGGCTGAGTACTTCCATTAGGAGTATTTCATTTAAAGAAGTGAATTAAAACTGAAGATGAAATCTAAGGCCTCATAAACTTAATTCTTGTTCTCTAATATGATCTCAATAAAAAAGCTAATCAACCCCAAAACAGTTACGATTTTATTCTTAGAAGGCATATTAGATTTTGAAGGAATGGCCAATATACTGGGGCTTGGGATTAATTTACAAACATTACTCATCTTACAGGTTACTGTTACTTCAATATTAAAACCAATTTCAGGAGAAACTTTAAAAATTACTGGAAGGTAAACATTTTCAACAATTTAATAATGACTACAGGTGATATTTCTTACTATATGCTTAGGCAAACAATATCAAAGAATTTTATTTCTGAAAGTATAATTTTTTTTAGGAAGTATGAATTTCAACTCCTATGATAGAGACATTAAGTTCAACCTTCTTAAGTCAGGGCTTAGGGTATGTAAAGTTCACTTTATAACTATGGATTCAAACAAGACTATAGAAAATCAGGTCTCACAGTGTAAAATATTAGAAGATGGTTATAAAAGCCAGTATTTTAATGCAAAATCAGTCGCCTACAAGGCCAAAGCATACCAGGATCCTTGGAGTTAATCCAGCTCTGGTAGGTACTGGGGCAAGATATTCAAGATACCCCCAGGGTAACCATGCAAAAAGATCAGATTGCCTGATACTCTGAGAAGTATCTATTATGTAGCAATTCTTGATGAAAGAAATCTTACTTGAATAAATATTAACTCAATATTGGAACCAATATTAGATCCTCAATGTCCTTTATAGTTCATCTTGGGCCAAGCTGACCCCAGAAATGTCCTCTACTCAAACCTACCAAGCTTGTTTCTATCGGCTATGTGTCTGGGATGGGGAAAGAATTGCCATTTAAGGAAACTTGCCTATTTGCCAAAATCAGGAGATATTTCATAGCTATCTATGTTAAACAGTAAATTTCGCAGATCTTCTTGCAAATTAAACCCTGATGATTAGAAAAATCAAAGATTCTCCATGGTAAAAACTCTCGGTTACAAGGCTCAGGAAGCAAAGACAAGGTCGGCATTACAAGCACAGCTGCCTGCCG